CCCGTACCTTTAAAATCAACTATTCAATCTTACACCTCATTTCCAAATCCACCTCCCTTCCTAATACATCTTACCGCTGATCTTTGGAGTAAGGGTTCAGACAAAAGCCTGACACAGGCCTATCCTGCATCAGCCCCTGAACCCGTGGGGGAAACATGTGGCACACACTTCAGCAAGTACGGCCGTGTCTCAGGCTCAGGGGACTCAAGGACAGTTTGGTTTTTATCACTCGATTCCCATCAATCCTCAGCTCCCAAGGACGGAGTGTTCTGAATGCAGGGGCTTCCCTCCAGGGATCGCCTGTTCCCGTGATTCATCCCCTCTCTCCTCTCATCTCGGCTAAAGCCAGAGCTGTGTCGCGTTTAGTCACCCGCTTCGTCCCTCTTGGCCCGGCTGCTGTTACTCATGGCTTATTTTAGGCTACAGTTCTGGCTGCCACGGGAGGTGTGGCTTGGCCTTTACACACAGATGACACAGGCAGTGCTCCCTGTCTTTAGACTTGTCTGTCAGCTGGCATGGAAATGCCAGGTGTCTGGGTTGTCTTTCGAGAATTTGGGTGTCTGGGTTGTCTTTCGTGCCCTCTGTCTGTTTAGGTGGCAGGTTTGTAACTAAAATTGTAATTTTGTAATTGTTAAAATACTTTCTACAGTACAGCTGTAAGTCAGCCATTTGTCAGCAAAATCCCCCTGAACAGTGTAAACACCGTGGTGCTTTCAAATCATTGTTCTGTTTGTTTGAGCATTCCGACCAGCCCGCATAGCAACACTGACTCAGCCAATGGTGTGAGTTTGGGGCGGGGCTATCTGTTTGACTGACCAATGACAGACGACATGATTGTTCAGGAAACCTGTTTGTAAACAATCATTCATTTTGCAGTTCTTTTCAGTTATGTTCATTTCAAAAGCTTTATTGTCTATCCCAAATGGGGTAGAAAATTGTCTTTAGACAAAAGGCTCAACACACAACCAATACAAATAGTCATCACAAAAACATTTTACATTACATACATCACTTCACAACTATAATAATACATTTGTTATTTTCAATGGTAAAATACTTTTGTTTTGTCCCAGTTTGTGCAAAAACAACTTTAGCACTTTAAAACGTTGCTGTTTGATTGAGCTGCTTGACTTATCAGCTTGAAACTGAACCAATGGCATAGTTTAGGGCGGGGCTGCCTGATTGTTGCCGGGCAGAAAAAAAGAATCTCTTGCACATACAAGAATGGACTCTATTTTATATATATATTATATAATATACTGTATATTGTAAATATGTTTATTATTAACTTTAAAAGTTAATATTTTTCATTGTTATTAGTATTTTTTATTATGTTTATATTATAAATGTTTTTAAACTTGTAATAACTTTTAGTAAAATAACATTTTAGTGTATTATATTAAAACTTAATGTTTTAATGAAAAACAGAAACTTTAAACACTTTTAGCGTAAAGGTGGATTGTATCAATATTGCTTTGTTCCGCTGTGCGACACTTTCTCAAGATTTAATTTTGTGCATAATTTTCCTCACAGTTACATTCACTGCGCTGCATTGGCCGTCAAATTGTGTACCTGATGTGGAATATATTATTTAAACATGACATATGATGACACATGGCAGTTTTAGAGGTTTTAGTCTTTCACTATTCAAATATATATTATCTGAGATGTAACCAGTATGGCTGCCAAGGGAACTGACTTGCTTTAAAAGGGACGTTGACAAAAGGAGTGTTTTGAAATCTGTTTGGAAACCTTTTCTTTTCCTTTTTCTTTTTAGTTCCATTCATAGCCACTAAAATGTAGACACATTTTAATGTGGGTGAATTGTCTGGATGAAAGATATCTCTTGACATTTGAGTTTGGTGGCTGTTTTTCCATTATGCTATATAGATTGGTGTCGTTTAGTGAAGGAGCCCATCTGCTCAGGATTTTTAGATTGCTATTTTGGACAGGTGTTGACATGAAGAATATACACAACTGAAAGTCACCCTGTTGAAAGATATACACACTTACTCAAGTGACTTTTGTATTTTCAGTCTTGTACATATCTGTTTATATCTCTCTTTATTTCTGTGTCCGTCTCTGTCTCTCTTTTTCCGCCTCCCTCTGTTCTTTCTTTTCTTTCTTTTCTTATGCACACAGAAATACACTTTTTTCCTCCCCAAGACCTCCCAATGTATCTCATTCAGACCCCCACTATAGAAGATTGTTTTGCAGAGTTCAGCGGGTAGAGGTGCTTCATCTTGTGTCACTAGAGGGTGGTCCTATTTAGATAGACCAGGTTGAGGGGGGATAAGGGTGACCTTTAGCCTTTACAGGGTCATCATCCATTAGGAAGTGATGGGTGGATGTCACTAGTCACCCTGCTATGACAATTTGTCTTCTAGAATATTTTTTTTCTGTCTCTCTAACTGCTCTTTTCAAGCTCAATCAAAACAAATAGGTGATGCCCCTATTTCACTCTTTCAGATTGAAGCCCCCACATCTCTGTTGTTTCCCCCGATCTCTTTTGTTCTTTATCCTGCTCTCTCTCAACAGACAGCTAATAAATTCCAAAGTGTCTGGCAACCTTTGGCATATCAGCTATAAAAAATGCAGTTTCTTTCAGTTTTATCAGAAATTGTGCCAGTGCAGGGAAACTGTGGTCTCATGACTCCAGTGCCTCCCAATCTGTTCTGCTCTGCGGTCTTGCGTAGTCGTTTATGTAATGACAGGTGTCGTTTTAAACTGCGTAGCTGCATAGCAGTTAATTCATGGAAAGCAATTTCTGTTCAACAACACTGTCATCATGTAATCCTAAAAACACGACAGATGCGATTAAACGACAGCACTGACTAGAAAGCAGATTACCTATGGGTAAAAATAAACCCACTCAACCAAGAATGACATCTATACGGTAATGAAACTCACAAGCCTGTCAATAACATAATGACCTCAAAAGGAAAAGGAAAAAGTGAGAAATTATTATTATAAATTATTATAAGAAAAACAAAGCCTATATTTAGGAATATAAAGGATTTTTTTCCATTATGACATTATTTTATGAAAATTAAGTACTTTTTACTCAATTCTCATTACCTTAATGTGAAAAAAAGTCTGAGGCCACTAACAAAAATGCTAAAAAAAAAAAAAAACAAGTTACAAAAATTAGAAAATAACACAAAACAGTATTTTAATATGGTCTTTTGTACCTGACTGTATTATTTCAATTGCATTTATACCTCATGCCAATTAATATTTGTTGTAGTCTGTATCCTGTAATTTATGCTCATTTTAACCCAGGTGTTATTCCAAAATGTCATGCTATAACATTGAGTGTTGTTCAAGCCTCTTTCCGGCTTGTGCTTGGAAGTGATGTCAAAAGCCTGGAAGAGCTCCCATCTACAGGAGACACTTGACTTTTAATATAACAGAAATAGAAGGAATCTGGTGGGTTGGGAACATTGTGTTTCACTGCACTAATGCTGTCACCCTTTTAAAATGTCACGCACTCTCACCATCTGAAGGTCGGGATGGGTGATGGGACCACTGTTGATAGCTAGAGCATTCGGACAGAACAGGTGACCTGCTGACAAAGCTTGGTCATGTTTGTCAGACTGGGTAGATGGCACATGTGGCCTTAGCGCTGTGTGAAACGACATTTCAGTGTCCCTGAGCAAACAGCTCTTGAAGGCGCATCACTGGCACCTTGTTTCAGAGTTTGAGTTGAGAGGGAGTAGACGGGTAACTTTGAACCAATCAGATTCTTGTGGATTGATGAGGTCAGATTTGGCAGACACAGTGCTTGATATAGGCTGGATTATTTCTGCTGTTTCTGTAGCTAAAATAGTAGAGCATGGCAATTGCAACGCCAAGTTATTGTTGTTAAACCACATACAGCAAACAGGGTCCAGGTTGTCAAATGACAAAATACAGTTACCTGTAAACTTGCACAAATGTGCAAAAGGAAGTGTCCATCTATATTTTTACTCCCAAGTTTGGTGGAGTAAGTTTTTCATGACATTCACTGTAGCAAAGATGGAGTCTAAAGACATTTCCTCAGTTAACAGAAACCCACAAATGCAATCACTCACTCACTCACTCTCAATGTACACTTTGTGGTGTTGTCAGTGTGGGTGACGACAATCTTTCTTGCACACACACATTCACATGCATATGTGCACTACCTTTCCTTCACTGTCACATTTTTCTTACTAAGCGTTCAAACACAATAAGCATGAGCACATGATGAGACAGGAAATGTCAGAGTAAGAAAAATCACGCTCTTCCATCTCTTGTCCTACTGCTGTCTCCTTCTCCTATATATCAGATGTGTAGCTGCAATCCCCCTGATGAGTTTGACCTCTAAAATAAGCTTCAGTAATCCATGAATCAAGACCTTCAAACTGTGAGAAACACATGACTCTTTGTTGTCACCTTCTTTATAAATCACAAAGCCCGTCACAAGATGACAAGTGATTCTTTGACAGGAGCAGGAACCTTTGAAGTCCATGAATGAAATATTCAGTAATGCATCTGATGTTTTACAAGTGTGCCATAGATTAACACTGAGGGTGGTGGGAAAGGGATAGGTGATGTTATTTTTGGCCTTTAATTTGATTTCTATTTTTCATGCCAATAATTTATATTTTTAGTTACGTTTTTCACATTAATATTTTTTGAAAAAAGTAGATTTACTACAGTTCAATAAACAAAATTAAGTTATTTCCACCACCGAAATCCAAACTACGAACAAGCTAAGATCTTAATTGTGCAAAGCATTTGAATAAAAATAAGATCACAACATTTTTATGTGGCAGCATGATTATGCTTGTCAATTTTATGTTTCATATGCTACTTCCCTTTTCAGTCTAAGCCTCTTCCTTAAAGAATAAAAAAAAAATGAAATATCTATGTCAGTTTCAATTAGTGTGGATGATTGCTGGAGCAGAGAGAATATCCTCTCGTATCTGTACTCAGTGCCCTAAACCTCTAAATCCTGGTCTCTTTTTCTCTTTCAGGTGTTTCTCTCTGGTGTGGTGTCTGAAGAGATTTAAGATGGAGAAATCCAGCAGCAGGTAACTCTACTCAGTCATTAAAAGCTGTTTTATTTGGCCCTTTCTTAAAGGATTCAACAGCCGGAGAAATGGAGAATAAATGAGGTAGGCGTCAAAATGGATGCATGTTATATTTTATTTCCATGTAGCTTCTAATCAGATTGTAGCATCTAGCGTTTCGAAAGCCAGCCGGGATATGAGCTTCATGTGGAGTCTGTTTCCCTCCTCCAAAACCCATCACAATAAATCATGTCACTCTTAGTCACTCGGCACAGCTCTGTCAGCACAGATACAGAATGCTAAAATGGATACAAGTCTTCCTGGAAATGAACTAAGATGACTTTGAATGTAGATTTGGGTATGGACGGTTGAGACGTACTAAATTTTGGTTAAAAGACCAATATTTAAAGTGACCACAGATGTGTTTGAATGTAATACAAGTATTGAACATTTTTTTAAATGCAGTGTGATTTGCTTATGCTTGATGCCAAGAAGCTTTTGTGCATTTTTTTATTATTGGAAATTATTGGGTCAAACGTTTCTGCAAGTCTTAAAACGTCTTAATTCGCCCTTCCACAGGCCTAAAAAGGGTTGAAATTGGAGCAGAAAGACTGAAATTCATAAAGTCATGGCATTAAATGTTGCATGCGCTGCAAAAAAAAAAAGTCTTCCTCAGTATTTTTGTTTTGTTTTACAAAGCAAATATCTCAACATCCTTAAATCAAGATACATTTATAGAAACGTTTTCTTAGATGTTTTTTTTAAGCATAAGCTTACTTCATTTTATTCAATTTCTCTCAATGGGAAATAAAAGCTTATTTTCCCTTTGTATTAAGTTGATTTATTCTTAGTCCATGGGCAGATATTTGTTCTTGTTTTAATGAAAAACTCTGAAAAACTGAATTTATCAACTTCTCATAAAACAAGACTTCTTATTTTATGCCATTTCACTTCTCAAGTAAATGTATCTTAATTTTTAAAGAATCTTTAGATATCTGCACTGGAAAACAAGACAAAAACACTGAGAAAGAATGTCACGTTTTTACAGTGTGATCAGAAGGTACAGTAAAGGTTATTTCCATATAGTGGTTAGGAGCAGATTTGTTCAAGCAAGTGTTTTTTTTTTTTTTTGGTGAAGCAATCTGTAGGAAGTTGCATTTTCAAACTTTGAAATGTTGCTAAAACAAGACATTTAAATTTAGAGATCATATTGATGTATTCCATTCTGTTGATTCCTTACATTTTCTCTACACAGAAATAAAGACAGATATGTACAAGACTGGCAATACAAATGACATAAAAATGTCTTAAAAAGTCTTAAATTTACCTTCATAAAACCTGCAGAAAGTTGTTTGCAGCCTATTTAGTTCACATTTTGTAGCCTCAAGATGTTGATTAAATGTACTTTCTTTCTTGAGTGGAACACAAAAGAAATATTTTTTAAATATTACTCCAGTATTTCTGTATTCCCCCCTCCCCTCCCCCATACAATGTGGTGTCCAGTGTTGTTTTGGTCCCCATTGACTTTCACTGTATGGATAAAAACAGTCCTCATGTTCTGCAGAAGAAAGAAAGTCATAGAGGTTTGAAACAAAATGAGGATTAGTGAATAATGACAGAATTTGAGTCAACTATACTGCTTTAACTTTTTAATTGCACTTTACTGTATATATGTTTCCAAGAAGGATTTATGAATGCATGGTATTTCTAGTTACTCCAAGTTCCCTCAATACATCTCCGGTGCAATTCACAAGCCATTTAATTAGTTCTCGATAACAAAAAGCAAACCAGATTCACTTCAAAAGGAGTGTAATGACCCCACAATGCCTTGTCAGCTCCTAAAAAAGATCGCAAATTTAGTTATTGTCTCTTTCGCTCATTAGCATGTAGTTTACATCCTTTATAAGAAAGGAAAACATGTGGTTTCTCATCTCCGAGCGGTTCGCCTGCGGATCTGCAGAGGGAACTTGGCGAGCGTGCATCACCCCAAACACTTCACTGTTATCTTCTCTACTTCCTCCTCGTTCCCACTGGGACTCTCGTCCTCGCTTTGAAGTAGCTGCACTTGAAAAAGACATCTCATGCACGCTGAGAGGAGTAATATAAAAAAACGTCGAGAGGAGATTGGTTTTGGCTACTCGAGTTAGAGGGATTTGTGGGTCAGACTCAAAAACTGCGCGCAGCAGCAAAAGGATGTAATTGTTGTCGTTGCTCAAAATCAAGCGTGTGCCGTTGCGAGAAAAACTTCTAAGCGATACCAGGAGAACCACACACCGTCCGTGCAATGCGGTACGCTGTCTGTCTCTTCTGGCCCACTGAAAATAGCGAGACCTCCCTCCTCATTTGGTTGTGAAAACATCGCTCAGTCCTGTCAGTGTGTGCCCTTTCATGCATACGGTCTGGCAAACAAGTGGATCTCTCCCCCTATAGCTTGTGTGCATATATAGTAAACGCTTTAATGTGCACCCGCTCTGCTCGGTTGCTGCTTGCTTCTTTAAATCAGCCTATTTTAGTTGTGATGTTCATTTGATGTTAATTGAAGCCAAGGGTAATGACAGCGCTGGCAGGCACACTTGTTCTACTTTGCGCCCAGAATCAAAAAGCAGGCTGCAGCTCTCTGCCATTTTCAGTATCTGACACAAGCAATCGTTTTCTATCAGACACCAGGGATTTCATCTGGAATAATATGATGATGCTACGGGCTGTCGTAATGAAGGGTTGTATGATGGAGGCTTGTTTTGGCATGTAACAGCTGGCTGACATAAATTTAGGAAGTGATGCATGTTCTGCGATTTGTAGGAATTGCTGAATTGTTGGAACTGAATTTATGGTTAATAAGAGGTGATATGGTGTTTTATTGTGTTGTGATTGCGGTCGACATTCATTGGAGTCATAATACTTGGTCAAGCCTTGATGATACTGAATTATACCAGTCTTCAATATGATAAGCAGGCAAGATATGTACAGTGTTTAACAATGTATTTAGTAATATTGTATATATTTACAGTTTTTTGTCTTGTATTTATATTACTATATAAAGCTACTAATGTGTTTTCTGAAATGCTAGTGTAATACATAATCACAAATTACCTTCAGAACATGAGCAATTGTCTCATCCTATGCTAACAATAACACATTCACATAGGACACATATAAGACATTTTAGTTAATAAAATATTTCTTAATAATATGCTTTTTTTGGGTGAAAGTTACTGATCAAAAAATAAATAAATATATATATATAGCATATTTTATGTCTTGTTCAATTCTCTCTTTGAGTCACTCTGCTTCTCTGCTTTTAACACTTTCTTTGTTTTTGTTTCGTGACTATTGTCAAATATGGTTAGCAATTAGAAAGACAAAATAGGTAATCACTTTGACTAAGATGGAGATGATAAAATGAGCCACTATGTAGATATGTAACAATAGCTTTTGTGACCTGCAGGAAATGGCAACTCTATTTTATGTAAATATTATAAATAATTTAATAACCTGGTAGTGTCATAATGTCATCATAAGTTTTAAAGAATGATATTTCAACCCATTTTTGCTTATGTATTTTACATATTAAGTGCATCAAATCAAAATAAAAGGGAAGGAAAGTGTATCTATAGTCTAATGTCATTTTCAGCTGTTTGTAGTACTTTTCTCTGTGTATTTTGCTATTTTATCCATGCAATATTTTGGAAAGAAAAGTAACAGACCAACTGGCAAGTCAAAGCTCAACTGTACCAATATTTAGTGTTTGAAAACATGTTACTTTTGGATTCTGCTAAAGTCTTTAAGGCACATGGAATATTGTGCGTTTTTTTTCTCTCAAATTCTCTCAATGCATCCGTGTTTCTTATCCAGATATCTTCTAAGGCGTGAAAGGGTTAAGAGTTGTAGACTTGGTTTATGGGGTGGCATGCTGTTTGCGCCAAAGCCATCGGAGGGGGTTTGGTTATTGCCGGTAATAGCATCATTAGGGGGAGAAGCGTTCCAAACCATATTAAAGCCTTATAGCTGTATCAGTCATGTGAAATTATATGCCTTTGTTACGCCAGACTCAGCCCACCGTTTCATCTACCTAACCCAGAAATATGGCTTTCATTGCTATCGGGCCCGCTGCTGTGATAGATGATGCAGTTTCATGTGCCAACGGAGGCGTATGTCTCTGCTTTTCACTTGTTTTTAATTAGCTTTCCAATGCTAATCAGGATGACTTTATTGAGTCCATCTTCACTTTAAGATCATTTTCCCCGGTATCATCTCAAAAACATTTTGATGAAAAGAAGGATGTTTACTCAGGCACTTCAGTGCGATGATATATTGCTCACAGTAAGATCTTTTCTGTGTAATTTTGAGATAAGGTGAAACAGTTCGACCCTCCATGCTGAAACTCTGCACGTCGGCCTCGAAGCCGGTGCCCTTTAGTGTGGTTTCGGCGAGGTGGTGTGAGAAGATATTCCTCCGTCTCTCTCTCTCCGGAGTGGAAGGAACTGAAGGGAGGAGGGAGGTAAGGTATGCACGAGGGGGAAAGAGTTCCTCTCTCCTCAGTTAGGGTCATGTGAGCCACTTGACGGATAAGCCTTGGTGCGGCGGACAGAAAGCGCTAGAGGCGCAGTGCTGATTAAACTCCCCCCTCTGCCCCGGCCCCTTCCACCATCCTCCAGCGCCGTCTTCCTCGTATTATTCTCTGGTGTGGGCGCCACGTAACAAATGGGTTTCCCAGAATCCAATATCGTTCGGTGGGGTAAAAGCCATTTCCATGTGCCCATCACCCTCCTACCGAAGACACCCTTATTCCTTACAGTGTGAGTAGACCTCTGTGTCACGCATCTCTCTCTCTCTTTTTCTTTCTTTTCTCTTTCGCAGACCAATGTCCTCATTTCTCTCAGCCGGCCTTCTCATCTTTTCATGGTGGCTTTTCTCTCGCTGAGGATTTCGCTGAGGTTCTGAGACCAACTTGTCTTTCGTTGTTCTCTTTCTTTTAGTTGTTTATGATTCAGTATTCAAAAGAGTGTTTTTGGCGTGATAAA